CAGAAACTCGTGCAAGAGCTGAAGACCGACGGGGCCAAGAAGGAGATATATCTTGAGGACCACTACATCGGGGATGCCCAAGTCCAGGTGTGTCCGGAGAGGCGCTTCATTCTTCGTCGCCATGTCGTGGACTTGCCAGGTGCTCGCAGAAGCGTTGAAGATGAACGAGAGCATCACCCACATCAACCTTAGATTTAATAACATCGGAGATGCTGGGGCACAGGCCACGGATCCCCTCTTGGTCCTTTTGCGATGAACTGCTTGTCTTTGCTCCATGTCATTCGGATGCCAGGCGTTGGCGGAGGCGCTGAAGGTGAACCGCAGCATCACCCACATTGACCTCTCGAGCAATCAAATCGTCGAGGTCGGTGCCGAGGCCAGGCCAGGCCGTGCCTTGCCCTGCCCCGATCGAAAGCGCAGCTGGACTCCTTTCGCTCCAGGCGCTGGCCGAGGCGGTGCAGGAGAACGACGCCATCCTCGAAATCGACCTTGGCTATAATCCATTGGACGACACGGACGCCGGACCCCCGGCGGATGACGGTCTCTGGAGGTCTCTGCCCTCGGTCCCGGGAGGGTCGAGTCGGTGTGGCCGAGGCGCTGGAGCGAATCAATGAGCGTTGCGAGGCAAATGTCGCTGCCACAGAGGTGCCGGGCCGGGTGCAGATTCAGGAGGGGAGAACGACTCCGCAATCTCAAGGTAATCTTCCACCACCACAAGGGTTTCAATGGGCCTGAAGTGAGAAAGTCACAGGCCAAGCTTCCATGACAAACGTATCTTCTACTTCTACCCTCCCAGTAGTTATTTTGGGTGGCAAAGCCTCCAAATCCTTTTCGTTTTAGAAGAGTTATGAAGCTAGAGTATATAGGACCTTGTGGTTCCTGTCGAGGTCCAGGCATTCAGAGCTCCCAACAGGACAGGTCAAGATCTGACTGCTGCCAGGCCAGAGCTCAAAGTGTCGGATGAGTCTGTACAGAACATGTGGTGTCACGTCCTTGACAGAGATGAGAAGAGGGTCGGCTGAGGGCTAAACTGCTAGAAGTGCAGAGTTTTTTGTTGTTGATGTCCCATGATAAGAACTCAACTTCATACTCAAATTGCCTTTGTTTGGCTTTTGATCCACAAGATGATTCTTGGAGCACCGCACGATGATTATTCTTTCCGTGGATTTATGATGATCTATTTTGACATGGTTGTTGGGTTATTTGTGGGTTAAATGTTGAATATGTGCCATGCCTACAAGTAGAGTGATATAATCTGTGATTTTATTTAAGTTGCAATCATTTACTTGGCTCATTTGAGACGTGAGGGTTGTTCTTGTTTGTCTTGGATAGAACACGGGCCATCACAAGCTGCTTAGTAACAGAAGGATGTTGTGCACCGACTGTGAATGAGCCGCAACTGGTTTCATTGGATTACAGGTGTCCTGCCTTGTTAACCCCCACATGTTGTGTAGCATCGCACCTGCGGGATCAATCAGATGAACCCTGGCCTCGATGATTGGGATGAAATCTAAAGGACTTGTTCTTTTTGATGGATCCGGGAAACCGGCATATCTCAGCCCTCCCAGTGCAATTGAGGTCAACCGTGGAAAAGTTCGACGTGCAGTTTCATGTGGTTTCACCAGTAGGCTTCTGTGGTGCACGGGCATGCAAAAAGAGGGCTGACGCTTCAGCTGCGAAGAGTCAACAAGCCATGAAATCTGATGACTCATCACCAGACCAACTGCTTGACATTTCAAATCATTTCAATCACAACATACGGAACGCCAGGAAAGTCAGTGGAAGAGCTAGCAATCCAAGATAGTTCCTGTTAAACATTCTTGGGTCCCTTTCCCACAGAACTGGATGGTTTCACCATGTTTAACACATGTCTTCCATAATGGTTTGGAGCTTGTTTCAGTAGGAGTTCAATGATGGTTTCCGAAGCCGCCAAATGTCAGACTTTCCATCGATTGCAACGAAGAACTCGGGCAATGGGGCGGAAGGGGGCAGATTCAGGCCAGCAAACACACCTTCAACCACCACTTTGTTTACAGATTGAAGGGAATGGGGTCTCTTAAGAAACAAAGCAGCTTGGTTTACTGGCTCTTTTCTCGCACCCTTTGAATGTGTAGGAGTTTGCTTCATCAGTGCAGCTTTTCGTTGGGTAAGCACACCATTGGGCCGCTGGTTTTGCGGCCCTATCCGGTGGAAGATCATTTCGACGCACCAAATCACCGGGCTCTTCAGCAAAGGGTGCCATATCAGAGGTTAGGATGTTGACTCTGGACTGTCCCTGCTGCTTCAGTCGCTGCTTCAGTTCGGTTCATCCATTCATCCGTTCATCCGGTCGTCGCGTCTAAGGTCCCTGAGGCCCTGCCAGGTCCATGAGGCGGATCGCTTCTTACCGAAGGCCTTAGACATCCACACAACGTTTCCGAAAAGAGAGCAGCATGTGATGGATGACAAGCTAATGGAAGCTACAAGAGTCGTGTGCAACGGATTTCAGTGGGTTTCAGCCGCAATTTCCACCCTCCGACCCACTGATCTCCAAGATTAAGACAGATCAAACTGTGGGCCCATCCCATTCCGCACGACCATTTGACCGAGTCTCCACACGTCGAGTCTCCTGAGCCGAAGTCATCCAGGCCCCTTCGGCGGCCACAAGGCGGTCGACGTCCTTCGGTCGGACGTCGTCCATTCGGAATGGGGTCCGTAGGAGGCGACGAGGGTGGAATTAGCCTTTAGTTTCGCACGGCTCGTCAGGGTGAGATGAGCACGGACTTGGAGATCTTTGGAGGTTGGGGACTTGATGAGTTCATGTCACATGCCGAGCTGCTGTATGGCCCCTCGAGCTGAGAAGCTTCTAAGAAGTGCTTGGGCCATTGCCTAACTGGGGTGGGTACTGGATGGTACGGGGGGTGTACCAGTGTGGCAGATTTCGTGTGGAGTGTTGGTCCACCGGTCCAGTTTGGCTGTTCTTCCCGAATGATTGATTCTGGTTTTTGAGACTTCTGAAACTCTAAAAATTTGCAAATGGATTGAAAAAACGATACCAATCCCAAAAACGATACCTGCCTTGAAACTTCTCACCTAATGACCCCTAGTTTTGCCGGTCGCTCAAGTGGTCAGGAAATATCAGAAAAAATATGAACAAAATCAGAAAATCAAATGATTCACAAGAGAAAGAAGGTGAAACTCTTCATGTTCTCTTCGGTTCCTCTGAATTCGCAGCGTCCGAAAGCTTCCAGGCTTGATGGTTCGACCTTTAAGATGCTCGACCTTGATGCTCGAGCTCATGCCGTTCGAACGTCATTTGCCAGGCGGGACCAGTCTCGATCGCTGCACGTAACTCGCCCTGAACATCCCTGAACGGGCCAGCTGCACGCAAGCACGGACTTAAAGTCGTCCAAAAAAGAAACGGGGGAAGCGAAGAGTGTCAAAGTCGTCTCGGTGTCAACCACTGAATCGCCGGTGATTTTGCAGTTTGAGTGATGTCAATTCCCTTTTTGTTTTTTTTTTTCACTCGGCAGGTTTTGGATCTGCAGTTTGAACAGATGACTCAGATGACAAATTCCTTGGAACAGATGGCTCAGACCGAGAGCCGGCAATCTTCGGGTTCTTCTGCCGAACGACTCGACCCACCGCGGTGCCCTTCGTGCACCTTCTGTGGTTTCACAGAGTCCAGTTTCAAGCATCGAGGCAAAAGCTGGCGATGGTCCGGTAGATTCCGACGGGACGTGAGTGTCAGACAAATGGGTGAAAGTGAGCGGAAAAGGGGCCCACTTCGGATGGATGTGAAACTGTCTCTTCAGTTCCTTGTGTTGCAAAACTGCTATGCCTCCCCAATTCTGAGAAATGTGCTGAATAGGTCTCTCAATTCCTTCACAAACACTGACAGTGTTTGGATGTTTGGATGAACTCTCCATGTTGCCATGCTGTAGTCGGCTCTTGGGAGTGTTGGCAGCACTCTCTCGAATCATGTCATTGTTACAGATATTGTTTGGTGATAGCCACCGAAGGCCAATTTGAGTCTGCAGTGTACCTGGCTCACGGAGCACCTGCCTCAGACATTCCGCAAATGTCAGGTTCAAGGGTGGGATTTTCATTGTGACTTGGAAACATGATGACTTTCTTAGAATCTACAAGATCTTTTGGAGAGACCCTGCGCAGTACCTTTTCATTGACCCAACAATCAGCACCTGATACACATAACCAGGCTGTTGATGGCCTATAGCGCCCTTTCGCGCCCTGCCCTCAAATGTCCTTGGCTCACAACATATGTTATCAACACAGTGCTGCAAAGATGCGAAGCTCGAGGGCCTCGTGCTTCGGGGTTCGGATCATCTTTGAATCCCACAAGGTGTTTGTCACTGCCTCTTCCAGTGCCTAGCAGAACCGGAGTCGCAGGGATTGGTCCGAGAAAAACGAACACACAACGGGTGCCGGTGGATGCCATGAAGTCCGCGGATCCCCAGGCGCGGATCCGCGTGTTATGCGTTCGACAGAGCTGAGAAAAGGTGGAAGGAGGAGAGATGTAGAGAGGCCCACGAATTGTCAACCTTGGGTTTGTCCCATTACCTGTCACAGTTGCTAAACAAGTATCACGATATTTTAGTGAAAGGCCTTTACTAACCATCACCATGGGATGTAATGGGATATATTCAATGTAAACCCTAAATAAGCTAAATATTAGTTGTCATCAACCCTGGGACCCTGAGGGTTGCTATTACCCTGGGAGTCAAAGACTATAAAAAGAATGGTCTTTAGGGGAACTGAAAGGGAACTTCCTTTACTTCATCCGGTCAAAACAAATAGTCTTTGGACTTCTAGGGATTTTTGTAGTCAAATCATTATAGTCAAAACCTCCTTGAGGTGTTTCAACTACCACAACCCGAACCATTTTGTGCCCACTGATTAGGAACCCTCAGCCTCTGTTGAAATTCACCTCATCCCCATGGACCCCGTAGCGTTGACTCTCAAGGTAGAGCAAAAGGTAGCGCTTACCGGACTAGCAGGGTTAGCTAGGTAGTTAGTACTATTAGAGCTGATCCTGTAAAATACAGGTTATCAGCCGTAGGCTAGCTAGATTAGAGCTATGGACCCGATGGATGACGACGTCCCACCAAACTCCTACGGAAGTGGCTTTGACATAGTTCCGAGTGTGCCCAATAGTTTGGATGCAGTTCAACGGCATGAACAAGCGGTTGCACAAGTGGCTGCAATGGATCCAAGGGTTGCTTCGGAGGTGTACCAAGAGATGCTAAATAGTGGTGGTAGTGTTACTCTTCAAGAGGCGACACAAGCTACCCTAGCAGGTATGCCGTCAGCCACCGTAGCTGGTGCGCCAACAGTAAACAACTTGTTGGCAATGACTCGGCTCAACGTCGTCAACCTGAATGCAACGCCAAACGACGAAGAACTACGACGGGAGTTACAACAACATGAGTTTTTGCTCAGCGAACAAGCCAGGAGGGAAGCTGAAATCGAGGCATTGCGCTTCAGGAGTATTTACGAAAGAGAAGCTTCCGAATCTATAGCGGCAACAAAGGCTGCCGCAGAGCAGGCAATGTTGAATGTTCAACAAAGGGCCCAACAGCAGGAACAAAGTGTTCAGCAAATGGTCCAACAGCAAGACAATGTTGCAATCAAACGGTTGCAAGGTACATTGGAGGAGCAAAGGGAACATTTTCAGCAGCGGCTAGCTCAGGCGACAGCAGCTCATGAGAAAGTTGTACAGGAAAAGAATGCCATGGCGGAAGAAGGCAATGCTTTTGTTGACAAAATGAGAACTGAACATCACCAGTATGTTGAGCAACAGGAGGCTAAGCTGAAGGCAGCTCTAGAGGCAAAGGATCAGGCAAGACATTCGTCTGCTGAAGAATCCCGGATCGCCATAGAGCTTGACTTCAAGCGAGAACAACTGGACAGTTCGTTAGCAATTGCACAGGCAAAGATCAAAACTCTTGTCAATGAGATGGAGACAACAAATAAGCAATATAAGGTTGATCGGGAAACGCAAGAGCAAACTATAGTTGAGCTTCGCAAGGACAATGCAATGTTGAAGGGTGAAATGGACGAGCTCAGACGTGTTGTACAGTCCTTGACAGACAGGGAAGAGGAACGCAAGGAAGCGGAGCGCAAGGCGCAATCCTCTAGCCCCGTTAAGCCAGGGCCGCAATATCCTGAGCCACTTACACCTTCTGCTCGACAAGACGCTCACCCAATTGGTCAACCGCGATCTTTTGAACCTCTACGCACGGAAGGCACTGTTCCAGCAACCTTAGACGGTAAGCCTCGTGAGGAAGGCGGATCCCCTATAAAGACGGCTATGGATGCAACAGCGTCCACGCGCAACACTGGATTCCCATCAATGTTCTCAGGGACAGGGGCGCCCGCAACGGAACAGGCAACGGCCTCTACGGACAGGCAACAATTCAAACAACCGGATCCGTGGACGGAGTACATGAAGAAGTCAGCACAATATAACTTCAGTGATGATCCTTTGTACAAAAGCTCCTTTAATCAGGAAGCAACAAAGACTAAGGATGATCGCAAGGACGAAGGGCCGGCTTCTCAGGTAAGAACTCCACAAGACCAAGATTTGGGGGAAATCATCAAGAAGGCCTTGCTAGAAGGGTTTAAGGGCGCTAAGAGCAAAGACTCTGACAAACCCAAGGCAAAGGAGGCTGATAAGATAGATCTTCCCGAATTCCCAAGTCCTGATAGGTACCGCACTTGGAGGGCCGCTGTTCGCGAAGCGATACGGTCCGCGTCCGATGACCCAGACGCTGCGTTCGCATGGGTGCTTGAGGTGTACGCTGTTCGTGAAGACAAAGCCAAGCTTTGTTCCGAATTGGCTGACCCAGGCAAGTTTCGGACCTTAGACACGAAACTACTTGCTGCTTTAACTAAGGTTGCCAAAGGTGAACTGTCTCAGCAGATCCTTAATTATAAAGAATCTGAGGCACAGCAAGGTAGGATCGTCCGTGGTCGTCAGGTGTTGCTCATGTTTGAAGTCCACTTCAAGACCAGTGAAGAAGCGGGTGCACTGTATGGCACTGAGGACCTCCTCAAGATCTCGCTTGATAGCGACGACTTGAAATCCTTTCTAAGAAAATGGGAGAGTGTTCTGACCGGAATGAGTCATGTCCCAGACCCGGCAACTCTCAAGGATTTGTTTTATAGAGAGGTTAGGAAGTCCCGCAAGCTCAGATTTGACCTTGATGTTTATGAACGAGCGCCGGAGGGGAGTAACGACAGAAGCTATGAATTTCTTATCAATTCTGTTCGACGTTACCTTGACAGGGAAAGGCTCAGGACCAATCGCGAAAAGATATCACAATCACACGCGGCAAAGTTCGCAAACCCGGCACCGCACGACAAGCGCACGCGAAGCCCAAGTTATGGCAAACGAAGCACAAAGGGTGACGGAAGCAATCAATGCTATGAGTATGCCAAAACTGGTAAGTGTAAGTACGGGAGCAAATGCAAGTACTCACACGACTCTAGCGCCCGTCCCCGCTCCCTTAGTCGGGAGTCGTCTCGTTCGCGTAGCGCAAGTCCGAGCAGCCGTTCATCGTTCAGGTCAAGCCGATCTCGAAGTTCGTCAAGACACACTTCCCGCTCCAGTTCAAGGAACTCATCAAGAAGCTCCAGTAGAGGGAGGAAATCTGACAAGCCATGCAGGTTCTTTGCAAAGGGTAACTGCAAAAGGGGTGACAAATGCCCGTTTAAACACGGAGACACTGCAACACCAGCCCCGCGCAGAAGGAGTCCCTCGCCCGCAGCTAAAAGGTCTAAGGACAAGAAATCCAAGAAGGACAAAAAGGACAAAAAGAGCAAACGGGAAAAGAAGGACAAAAGTCCAAAGGCCAGTCCATGTATTCAAACAGGTTTCGCAATGTCTTGCTTAGCAGCAACCGCAACTCGGACCCAAAAGAGTAAGGACTACTGGGAATTCTCCAAAGATGGCAATGAGTTGATTAGGCACCATTTGAAGCCTAGGCACAGATCGTTTCTCCCAACGCGTAAATCCTGTCCAGTTGAGTCATCTAGGTTGGAAGACCAGTTTACCATGGTAGTCACTGACTCAAAGGGAAAGAGTAGGACAATCAAGGGTAATTGGAAGAAACACCCAAACGCGAAACAGAAATTTGATTGGACTGGAAAGTCAATTTTCCGTGTTGTGCAAGAGAAGAGAATTCGTTTTGAATTAGAACCGGAGGTACACACCTTTCCTGTTTGGAAGGAAATGTACCGGCATGTAGTGAATAAGAGCAAGAAGCGGAACCTGTTCCGGACCACTGAGGAATGCCCAAAGTCCCGCGAGTGTGACACTAAGGACGCCATTTTGGCAGCGGAGTCACTTAGGCAGATGCTCGTTTCGATGGATACCGAGGAGCCTGCGTGTGATTTCCTTTGTGAACATTCCCCAGAAGGCCCCGATGATTTGTGCTGCACGAAGTGCAGAACAGTCGTCGGAGAACAGGTGCCGTCATGTGCTCGCTTAACAGCGATGCCAAACATGGTTGGTATGGAGAAGTGGCTGGGTGACACTGGCACTGACCAGGACATCGTAGGTAAGGACTCTAAGACAGTCAACAGGGCCACCAAGATATTCAAATCCAACGAACCAATCTCCCTTACTACTGCCAATGGACCTATCACTGCTGACGAAGTAGTAGAGGTGATCTTGCCAGGGTTATGTGAATCCTTCAACCCCTACATTCTCCAAAGTACTCCCTCTGCACTTTCAATTGGTTTGAGGTGCTTAGAACAGGGATATGATTTTGTTTGGGGAAAGGACACTACTCCCATATTTCTTCGACCTGATGGACAATGCGTTAAATTCAAATTGCAAGGTAGGGTTCCATATATTGATGAAACATGTACCCCATTCTCGATTCCTGAATCACTGAGGACTCGCCTTACTAAGGTACTCGATTCCATCCACCAGTTCACCATCGACCAGGGCTACGCCATGGCCAGCCATGAGTCCGAACCCGAGGAAGACCAAGAGGAGGCTGACGAAGCTGGCGTAGATGCCAATGCCGATGATGGACAGGAGGACGAAGAGGACAGTGACCCAGAAGTTGAGGTTCCTTTTGATTTTGAAGACGTTCCCGTAGCAGGGGAGAAGACCGAAGAGCAACTTCGAAAGGAAGCAAAATCAGGGGCGCATCAATTCACACATCGACCAAAGAATCCCTACTGCGATGTTTGTAGCGAAGCTAAAATGCTTGCTCCCTACGGTAGAAGCGTAGGCGGATCACAACATGTTTTGGCGCGTGGGTTTGGCGACCACATAGTGTGCGACCATGTTATTCCCAAGGATATTGAAGAAGGGATAGAAGGCCAAACGTCAATGTTGGTGATCAAAGATGTTTATACTCAATACAGATGTGTTTATCCTTCAGAAAACAAAACAGCCGATTCCATTGTGAAAGCTTTTAAACATTTTCTGAAGACTTCTGAT